TGATACTCTAGAGAAATGAGACGGAGTTGGGGACTGAAGATGTTGAAGATTACGACGAACAGAGAATGGCACATCATCTAGATAAGAATACTCGTTCGGGTCCATGTGGGCCTCAAGGCTGATGTCAATTCCCACCCCACAATCCAATCCCACAATCTTTCACACTTCATCTCCTGATACTGCTCAGATTCTTGAGCCAACGCCCCAAGTGCGCCGGCATGTCTGAAGCAAGCTTACATATGCGGAACATGTCTCTGTCCATGCCCCAGCAACAATTCACATGGCAGTATGTGGGCAGTCATGGCCTGACCGACTGCTGCATTCGGAGTGTTCCGCAGCTTTCTGCTTCGAGAGACAGCAAAGCTATCGACAGGTTCAAGTGTGCTTGACCGAAACAGAGGCTTTTGCTGGCGAAAACTGTCGGTCGGCTGCCTCCAACCTGGATCCTAACAAGTGCTCAAAAAGTACACATTGACACTGCCGAACCCCTCTCTGGAAGCTGTTCATGCGTGATTGCTAGTGACGAAGTGGCAGTAGCTGTCGTTGTAGCAGAAGGACAAACAGTGCAGAGCAGCCAATTTTTTACGGATGCAAGACCATTCCGCCATGTCGCGTCGGTGTCTTTGATGGCCCGTTTCCGCGGCTCACAGGCCGAGGTGCCGAGACCAGGAGTTTCACGATGAGACGGGCAGCGCTAAGCATAGCAATAGGATTCAAGATACGTTTTCCATGAGGAGGCGAAAACGTAGGGATGGTACAGGTTCGGATGTCGAAGATTGTGAAAGGTGCAGCTGCTTTGACATTGTTTCTTGCCGGCATTTTGTGAATCATGCACTTGAACTTGTCCTGGATCTTCGATTCAGGATTGGCCTGTCTGCTGCTACGGCTGATATCAACCTTTCAGACAGTGGGTGTTCTAGGAGTTGGAATTCCATGGCTGTCATGGTCTGTGTGGTCGGGTGTCCACACATGCTCGCAGTCCGGAGCTTCGGATGCTTCTGTAAAGGTGATGCTGGGCGGTGTTCTGATGCCCGTACTTCATCGGACTCAAGACCTCATGTCTGGGCACCTCAAGCAGAGTCCTGGCGTGGTCCCAAACATCGAGTTGTGTGGCCAAAGGAAAGCACGCACGGGACCCGAAACCTTTGTTCCCAAACCCACAGCCTCAAGCCATTGCGCGCCAAAGAGTGCAACAGGCAGCGGGCTATGGTGTCGACAAGCTACAAGGGAGGCCGGGAAAGCCAAAGAGCAGGGCAGGGTCTGAGGTCATGAAAGGAGCCAGGCAGATTTTTTGAAATCTCTCTCTGTCTCTCTCTCTCTCTCTCTCTCTCTCTCTCTCTCTCTCTCTTTCTCTGTTTCTTCTTTAAGGGTCAGGGTTGGAGGAGCCTGGACCTGCAAGCCCTGGCTTGGTCGTTCTGTCTTGGGGGAAGAAGGATCCTTGTGCTCCTTGCAGTTCTTTCGAAGCAGTTGCCACGTGAGCAAGGCCCAAAAACCTTGACCAGGACTGTATATCTTTGTTCAGAATCTCAGGGATGGTACGTATTCCAACTGGGTGCGCCGGTTCGGGCGAGCCCCTGGGACCTGGAGCCCCTAATTTCCGACTCAAAGCCAGGCGCCCCAAAAGCTGTGAGGTGACTCATGCCGGGACCAGAAGCCAAAAGGCCAAGAGACATCTCAGACAGAGGTATAGAACCCCTAGAAACTGCTGAACTAGTACGCAGTGCACCTGACTGTAAACGGAAGAATTTTGAAGGCAAAGACGCTGGATGTGTTTAGCGTGTGCGGCCTGCGGGGTTGGGCATCAGGCCACCCAGCGTGGGCGAGTTCAGCTCCCCGGGTCAGTTCCAGGCACCGGATGCGTTCAGAAAGTCGTTTTGCATCATGCAGCGGTTGGTGTTTCGATTTGAGACGCGGTAGTTTGCAAACAACTCTTGATAGACGTCCTGCAGTTACTCAGAAATCTGTCACATTTGCACTGCAGCAGATCCCTGCATCGTTGCGACAAGAACGACAGAACTAATCGACAGTACATTGGAAGAGAGGTGTCGAAGCTTCGAAACGCAGAGTCTAGTGAGTCTATTGGATTCGACTGGGGATGCCGCTCGCGTCTTGCTGTAGGACAGTTCTGCTTTGCGGATATGACAGGACGCCCTTGTGAAGCCCTTAACCCAAGATGTTCTTCATCAAAATCGGAAGTGATGGTGTAGAACACGCAGAGAAGGTAACGCCGTGTCTTGTCTGAACAGCTTCACTGTCGCAGATCTTGAAAGAGCTCCACAGCAGCGCAGCTGGCTCTGTACACCTTGCAAAGGTCAAGGCTCGCAGGGCTTGGAAGGTGATTCAGGTGTGGAGTCTAGGCTGTATTCGGGTTCAGGAGTTCGCCGGCAGAGCCAGAGCCTGTCACATCGAGCCTTAGTGAGTCTACAACAGGGCATGGCGTGTAGGGCATGGCATGTGTTACCTAGTTGGGGAGATCCCAGAACCTGGCTTCGGCTTCGGTTCCCACATTGTCTACGACCCCTTTTGCAAGCAAAGATCATCTTAAAGCCTAAAGCTAAGCTGAAACATTTATTGCTTTGTAAAACATTGGGCGGAGCCCGGGAAAGCGCGCCAGGATCCTCAGAGCCAGCTGAAAGATACCGTTGTGCTGAAGAAGCGTCCCCATGTCCGCAGCGAGACCTTAGGGGCCTTTCAAAGGGGAGTATACGGGGTTGAGTTCACCGTCTACTGCTTATACGGTTTCGGGATGTGGAGCTGGGGCTGTTACGGGTCAGGAACGGGAGACACTAAAGTTCCGGCTTGAGTGCCCGAGACTTTGGTAGGATTCGTTAGGATTCCGCTCTAAAGGCTTGGCATCGTCCCAGCCCGGAACTTCCCCGAGGCCCATGCATTCCACATTCGGCATTCCTCCTTCCACTTGGAGCTAAGCTTCGTTGAGGCAAAGTGCCGGAGCTGGGCAAGGCGAAGGACATGTTCAACGAGTACGAGGCAGGAATTCGAAGTCCTGTCTGAGCCTGATGAGCCCTAGGCAGGCTTTCGGGGTTTCCCCTTGAAGGGTTCCCAACCTCAGAAGTTCGGAAGTCTGAAGTCTTGCACCCATTCAGAGCCATCTTGTGCCTGGTGGCGAGGCTTCTGTTGTACAGCATTGTATCATTGACTGCTTCATTTTTCTCGTGCATTCTTGTAGTTCCGAAGTCTGCGGGGCGCTTGCTGCGGGCCCTGGTTGCGGACTTTTTTCACAGCAGTCATTGCTTCTTTGGGACCGTTTCAGTCCTCGTGGTTCAGAGTGTGGCCGCTGCAGGTCATGAAACGACTGAGCCATCCGAACATCATCCGCTGCTACGGCTACTTCTGGGAGTTCCCGACGCAAAGTCTCTACATCGTTCTGGAGCGGCCTGGCCATGTCAAGGGAAACTGTATAGAAAAAAGGACCTTCTCAAGGTACTGGGGCCGCCCTCCTGCAGCAGGACGAAGGTTTGACCCACGCGCGGGATCAATGAAGCAAGGACCCCCACTCCCACGTAGAATTTTGGCAAGCGGGACGTCCCTGGTACTCCCTCGCCTCGGAACTTTAAGTAGGATTATTTATCAAATGATGGAAAAATATGCCGCGTGCACATATGCTCAAGCTGCGCAAACACATCTGAGCTGGCAACAGGCGCCTGAATCCGAAACCCACATGCCCAAAACGCTGCAGCCTTGATAAGGTATGCCAACCGGGGCGATCTGCATGGCGAGCTGCAAACACGCAGCTCGGCAATCTGCTACGACATGCACCAGATTGCTTGCATGACCAGCTTCGGGTCCTTTCTAGCAGCAAATCAAGACGGAACGCAAACTCTATCTTGAGCTGTCAGGACATGTCACGCGAGCCCTTAAAGACAGCCCCAAATCCCGCTTTTGATCCAATACATCTACGTGCGATTTTGACTTGGTGTTTAGGCTCTCAGGGCTCTTGGGGCCGAAGCCTGAGACACACAGCTCCGGATGGATCCCCTAAACCCAAACCCTGAATCTTAAACGCAAAACCCTAGCCCCCCTGACAAAGCTCAAACCCCCAAAGCCTGACACGCACACCCACACAACCATCCTTCAAACACCCAACACAGGCCCCAACATGCTTTTGACAAGTCACGGAGGCGCCCAGAAATATTCCCTAAACCCTAAACCCCTAAACCCCTAAACCCCTAAACCGCCTAAACCCCTAAACCCCTAAACCCTAAACCCCTAAACCTTTGCCAGGAAAGCGGCTTGGGAAGCATTTCTCGGACAACGAGGTTTGGGACGTGCTGGCCCAGGCCTGGGGCAAGGGATGCTCTGTGTTTAGGGCTTCCCTTCTAAAGGGGGTTTAGGAGTCCTTGTTACTAATGTTTTTTTTTTTTTGGGGGGGGGTGGGGGGGCGGGGGTCTAGGAGTTAAGGGCTATAGGGTTGGAGTTGTGTTGAATGTTGATGGTTTCAGGGCACCGACGAGGATTGAGAATTTCGTTCTTGTCTTGCTTTTTCTGCTCGAGTTGGGGTCTTCTATTTCGGAGTCTCTACATGTATTGAGCCCCCCAAATATACCGGGACCTTTCAGAAGCCAGGTCTTGCGAGGCCTGCGCCACATTCACGCCCGGGGCATCGTGCACCGCGACATTAAGCTCCTTTGCAGAGTTTGGGCGCACTTTTTGGTAGTTCGGGCGTCGTCCAGCTTACGTTTTTTTGGGATAGGAAAGCTGCCCAGGGATTTAAAACAGAGCGAGGGGGGATTGTGTTCGAAGCCACAACAACAGAAGCTTCCTGGCGTTTGCTACTGATTCCAGCATCCTGCCACTCCGGCACCGGGAGCTGCGATCGAGTTCCTTGGGGCTTTCTGGGTCCCCTCGCTTGCCCAACATGCACAGGTTTTTTAAGAAAAACATAGGTTTTGTTTATTTTAAACCTATCCGCAGCCCGAAAAATGACCTGGGTGATCCACCTCAGACTTTGCGACTGCCGTTCCGCGTTCACAGTGAGGACCATGAACCTGTTGCTGAACGACGAGGGCGTCATCAAACTTGGCGACTTCGGGGTGTCACGGCAGATGTCCGAGTCGCCCGGCCTCTTTGCGCATCCCTCCTTCTGGCAAAGGAATTAGCGAGACTGTTCGCACTGTTTACTTAGATAAAAATCCCAGATTACGACAACACTCATGTTGCGGGTCTATGCGGGTTCGGGCTGTGGTTTAGGGCCAGGGTTTTGGCAGGACAGTTGGACACATGTGCATGCATGAGTCCATGTATGTGTGAAGAGTCAAGCAAGTCTGAATCAAGTTTGTTTGCTGGAGCAAAAGCCGGCTGGACCTGAGGATCAGCGGTGAAGCCCTGCAGATTCACACGCGTAGTAGAGACAGTGTTCTTTGGGCTCATGCATGCCGCCTTTGAGGAACACCGTGTGTCTCCACTCGTTCTACGGCACGCCTCTCTACCTTTCGCCAGAGCTCATAGAAGGCAGGGAGCAAATCACTTATCGCGCGCTTGCCTGCTGTGTCGAATTACACACCAAAGCTTGAACAATGATGTTCGAAGTTGATTAAGCCCTCAGCAATTCCCTGAGCCTCTGCGACGATGGCACTTAAGAATTATCGCATCGCCTCTTGCAGTGATTCTTTTGATCAAGGTGTTGTTCCGACATGACATGATGCTAACGCGACCCGACATGACCACGAAGCGAGGGTGAGGCGAGTTGACATAATGTGCGTGATACTGTCACGGATGACCTCAGGTTGACACATACCCGTGCGTCGGCTGTGGAGCATAACTTAAGTCCGCAGCAGTGAGCAGCCCAAAGCCATGCAGCCAGGGCGCGCATACTCCCGGACGACGGACATCTGGTCACTCGGGGTCGTTCTCTACGAATTGCTCTCGCTGCGCCTTGGAATCTGCTAAGTCCCTGTCCTTCTCTGCGGCTTCGGGTTTGGGACGCGAGGCTCAGAGTGTATCGGTCTCCTCATCCCCTGCATAGACCTGTTTCAAAGTAGCTTCCACCAGGGCCCAAACGGAGTTCCGTGAGAGAGAGAGATAAAAAAGAAAAACGCCGAAAAACCGGAAAGTGTTGCACACGCACCCCGGGCCAAGCGACAGGCAGCTGCCGTTCCGTGGGCCCAGCCTCCAGGACTTCCGGGAGTCGGGAAGTCTCGGGCCGAGGAGCTGGTACTGGTGGCCATGGTGATCGCATGGTCGATGCCGACGGTGATGATGATGAGGAGGATGATGATGAGGATGATGATTGACCGCGAAGGTAATAGTGAAGAGAACTTGCGCATCAATCGTAGAAACGCAAAGGCATGCTGAGGCGAGGCCTTCTGTTGTTGGTAAATACAACTTCCCCCACACCGCATGCTTCAACCTTGGACCCCAAGGCCCCCCACGCCAACCGTCCCCCGTGTAGGGTTTATGACCCATACGCTCTGCATTGGATACATGCCAGAATCTCCCGGCCCGCACTTGGCGGTTTCTTTCAAGCACGCTACCAGATTTCCCGATATGTGTTTCGGTCCGCCAAATTGCCTGGCGTGTGTTTTGGTCCCTGCTATGTGCTTCCTTACATTTGTTTGGACCACCACAGTACATGTCCGAGGTCCAAGTTCGTGACCTTTCGCGCTCCGCCCACGGCGGAATTTCCCGACATCTGTGTTGCCTCTCTGTGCATGGCCGAACTCACCTGCCTTGGCACTGGTATGAGTGCAGTGCCTCAGGACGTGATCGCGGCGGTACTCCGCTGTCGCTTCGCTCCTTTGCCCAGCTGGCGACCACAGGTGCGGCGCCTCAGCATGTCCGTAATCCCAGAGATGCAAGGGTTTACAGAAGGGACCAACAAGATACAGCTTACATACACTGCGCTGCGTTTGTGTACGCAGGAGTTTTCCGACGTTGTGAACGCCATGCTGACCAAGGTCGGCTTCTTTTGTGGGGCCCGAGCATTGTTTCCGATGTTACTTTTCCGCCACGAATGAGAATGAGAGAAAGAGCGCTCACATCAACAGATGCTGGAAGAATCTGTAGCAGCCACTGGCCGTGGCCTCGTTCGTGAGGTGGTAGGCAGCATCTTGCGTCTGGCGTTGGGGTGCGCACTACTTTGGGCGTGATGGCGTAATTTCCGTGAAGACCAAGGTCCACCAGTTTGCCCAACTCGCGTTTTGTGCTTGCATGGTTTGGAGGATGCACAACGGCGTCCCTCTGCCGAGTCCCTGCTGCAGCGTATGGAGTGGCTCGGTTGCAGGCATCCAAAAGTTGTTGTTTAAGAAGTTGTCTCCAATTTACCATGTGCTGTGCATGATCGCATGATGCACTTTGTTGAGGCATCTGACCCCGTCGCTCTCTCTCTCTCTCTCTCTCTCTCTCTCTCTCTCTCTCACCCTCTCTGTGACATATATACACATGCATATCTACATACATAAAAAGCGTAGGGGTTTCGGGTTTATTTGTTTAAGAGCTTAGGGTTTAGCTGAGTCACATCAGCAAGGCGACAGTCAAGTGCCTGTCCGCTTTAAGAATGAAAGCTCCGGGGAGTGAGCTGAGGTCCCTGGGCAAACTGTCTCGCCCTCCGAAAGCCGTGCAAGAGGATCCTAGGCCCTGCACGCAGAGAGCTCGGGGCTTCAGGGACTTTGGGAAAATTCACAGAAGGGAAGCTCAGCGCCGTGCTACTCCAGACCTGCCAGCACAAGGGACCTTCCGTCTGAAAGAGAAGTTTTGTGGTTCTCTGCGAGGCCCGTCGAGCCAAAGCCGCCAGACAAGGCCAGGCAGCTGTTCTTGCTGCTGCAGTTGGTGCTCACATCCGTGCACAGGAGAATCGCTCGCCCGCTGCGGTGGCCCGAAATGAGGGACACCAGGTCCGGTTCGAAACGTAGTCACGGGTCTGACAAGTTATACAGTGAGGAGGGGCCGAGCACAGTATTGGGGATGTGTTTCAGGATCGAGGCAGACTCAAATTGTACGATCAGATGGACATGCCATGTGGTGTCCCAGTGCATGTGTTTATCATCGGGGATGGACTTTCTTTGGTCGCATCATCGCAGGTCGTGCGCGTGCGCTCCCGGCCCAGCAGCGCAGGACCTCAGGCGCGTCGTGCCCAGGGATTGCAGCATACACATCAGCACTGAATCCTTAGTCCGAAGCAGGCGATGTGGTGAGTAGGGGGGTATTTCAGGAAGCTCTGGACTGGCGGCTTCGAGCAGTTGTTTGTCCCTCCTCGGTAGCCGTGTCCGTTTCAGCTTTCTTGCTGGTTCCGAGTTAGCTCATGTTTTCAGGCTCATGTGATCTTGAACGCGACTCGGGGGCCGACTCGGAGCCTGATTCGACGCACGTCGGTAGGTGAAGCTCATTGAGCCCGATGCACCGCCCCCAGGCCGTGAGCCTGCTGTCTGTGGACCCCTAGGTTTCCTTCTTCTCAGTGATTATGCCAAGTGATGCGTTTTGTGTGGTCATGCCAGGATCGAATGCAGGGTAGTGATGGTGTAGGACAGCGAGATTCTCTTGCGCACCACTCTCTAAAGAAAGTCTTCGTATCTGTCGATCTCGTCTGCTAGCCCTGCAGGCGCCACTGGCCCACTCCATGTGGTCAAGAATCTGCGCGAGGAGCAGCGCTGGTGCTGGTACGGCTGTTGCTGCCACATTTGCCGTTACGACTTCGGCGACCACTACCACCACCACGCCATCACCAGCGCCACCACCCAAGTCAGGTAGACGACCATCGTTCAAAGAACAGCCCTAGGCCTCTTCTCCCGTATAGTGTAATACGCGTAGTGATATGCAAATCGTTCATGTGTTCGGTGGCTTCTGCAACAGAGCCGGCCGATTCAAGGCTGCCTGCAAAGGGGCCTTGGATGGGCAGGGCGGGACCAACTGCTGAAAAGCGGTAGTCTTGCGCGTCGGTTGGGTCGCGGTCGCTGTCGTTCACGAGTCTTCGCGAATTGTGCTAGTGACTCCTTGCGTCAGTTCAAGCTTCGTTTGGTTTGAAGTTGTCATGTGTGTACCTCCGTCCGATGAACAGCATGTAAAACCCAACGGTATGCCCTTTGACACAGGGCTGGCTGGGATCAGGACCGATGATCAGCGGCGAGCTTGTGTTCTTGCGGCGTCACCAGCGCGTACTGTCAAACCTGCGCCAAACTCTGTAGTACATAAGACAACAATAACTTAACTGTATCTCCGATGTAGAGGCTTTCATGGTCCTTAACAGTAGTTGTGGAGGGTGCAACAGAGCGGAGTCAGAAAGTCTAGATGGCAAGCTTAAGACTGCTGCGGCTGCTATCCGCCGCCTGGCAAGCACTCATCCGACAAACTGTTTCTTGTGTGGCGCTCGCAGCCGTGCTTAGCGTTTTGAGCTGACTGGTTTGCTTGGGCACGGCTGCTGCTTGTACCTGCAAGGCTGTGTCCTGACTCGCGGCCCTTCATGGCATGTTGATTTTGCCTTTGGGTCTTTCACCGGCGGGCCTGGCAAATTGAACAACGTCTTGCAAGTACTTGTACCGGCGAGACCGCACGTCCATGTCGTGGAAGGTGCAAGCGTCATGCTTGGCATTTGATTCTTGGGTCTGTGGTGCTCGCTGGCAGTAAGCGCAAGCACTTGCACCACAAGAGGCACAACACTGCGTCCGTAGCGATGCAAGCAGCCACGCGTGGCATTTTGACGTTCGGGTTTGTCGGTCTTGCTGCCGGGCACTCGAAACCCTTGCACCACAAGACTGTTCTGAACGGTGCAAGCATCCATGCGTGGCATGTTAATTTGTGGGTTTGTGGTGCTGGCTGTTGGGCAGCACAAACACTAGCAGCACAAGACTGCGTCCTGAATGGTGCAAGCAGCCACGCGTCACGCGTGGCATTTTGATTTTTGGGTTTGCGGTGCTCGCTGCTGGGCAGCTGCACGGTGAACCCAACCATGCGCGGCATTTTGATTTTTGGGGTTTGTGGTGCTTGCTAGTGGGGAGCGCGAACACTTGCACCACAGGATTGTGTCCTGAACTAGCCACCATGTGCGGCATGATGATGTTTGAGTTTGTGGGTGCTCGCTGCTAGGCAGACCCACACTTGCACCACAAGGCTGTGTTCTGAACCGTTCAAGCAACCATGCGCGGCATTTTAGTTTTTGAGTTTGTAGGCTGTAGTCTCGGTGGTGGGCAGCGCAAAGAATGCACCACAAGACACTGTCCTGAACGATGGAAGCAGGCATGCGTGGCGTTTTGATTGTTGGATTTTTCGGGCTCGCTGCTGGGCAGGGCAAACACATGCACCACAAGATTGTGTCCTGCACGGTGAAACCATGCGTGGCATTTTTTTTTTTGCGGTGCTCGCTGATGTGCAGCGCAAACACTTGCACCACACCACGGCGCCCTGAACGGTGCACACAACCATGCCTTGCGTTTGATTTTTGGGTTTGTGGTGCTCCGTGGGGGGCAGCGCAAACATTTGCATCACAAGACAGAGTCCTGAACAGTGCAAGCAACCAGTGATGGCATTTCGATGTTTTGGTTTTGTGGTGCTCGCTGGTGGGCAGAACCAACACTTGCATCACGATGCAAGCGACCATGTGCGGCATTTGATTTTGGGGTTGTGGTGCATCCTGGTGAGCAGCGCAAACACATGCACCACAAGATTGTTTCCAGAACGGTGCAAGCAACTATGTGTGGCAGTTCTGTTTTTGTTATGTGGTGTTCGCCGATTCGCTGGTTTGCAGCGCAAAAACAAATCTTGCAAAAAATTATCGATTGTCCCAGTTTGGCGAAAACCTCGGGTCTAGCTGTAGCTTCGGCTGCTTCCCCAAGCTGTCGCTAAAGGGTACTCTTTCATCTGCTACCCAAGCCTTGCTGCAGCAGAGATCTTTAGTAGTTGGTGTCTGGGTGCGCAATTTTTTAGTGGACATAAGCTGCGCGCGGCCAGTTGCAGCTTGAACCGCACGTCCATCAATGAAAGCATCATGAGTTGGGATCCTCATGCCGTCTTGCGTTCATTTAGGACTGCCTAGAAAACATCAGCACTTGCCTGGAAAGGGTATGTCCGATTGACAAGACATGCGTCAGCGACTGCAGTTGTCTCCTGTCCCAGCGGCTGCTCATTTGTTTCTTGAATTGTTTCGTTGCGTGTTCGCTCCGGCGCTGGAACAAAGCCGTTCCTGTGGCGTCGACATAGGGAAATAGCCGCTGGTCCACACGTTGTTCGCCGATGTAGCAAAGAATGATAGACTCGGATCTGTTTATTAAGCCCGAACCCGAAACCGTAGTTTATCTTTGGGGAGGTAGCGTGAGCAAGTTATGTTGTTCGTTGTTGCAGGAGCGCTGGGAGCAGAGGCGCTTGGCACACGCCCCAGCTCCGCACCATGGGCTGCAAGCGACGTTGGGTGTTCTGTTATTAATTACGGTTTTAGGGGGGGGGGTTACTGTTTGTTTGCTTCCGGGTTGTGTTTTTGTGTGCCGCGAGTATGAAACAATCCTACGGCATAAGCGATGTTGCAACATTTGTTAAGTCATGCCAAGGCAAGCCCCTGGCTCAAACATGAGGTACGCCGTGGAAAAGCTGCAGGGGCGCCCCTCCAGCATCGGCGAGTTCAATCACCGTGAGCAGCACGGCATCACGTGAAGTCTTAAGAGCGAGGTTAACAGTTGGATTTACAGTTAGCAGTAAGCGGCTAGCGACACTCAATCGACGTTTCCTGCGATGAGCCCAATGCAGTGGGTTCTCGGGTGGTGAGCTATTTGGCTTTTGCAGTTTCGACGTCATGGTTTAGGCCTCATTATGTGGCTCGCGAGATTGGGGTGCCTGGCCACTCCCAAGCAGCGATCCAAGGCAGTTCGAAATCCTCAAGGAACCGCTACGCACAGCCTGAGTTGGTGGGGCATCCGTGATTTGTGGTCCGGTGCCTGAATCACGTGGAGACTGATGCAACATCAGACTCAACTAGTTCGCGGTATGGTCACGCATCCCGAATTTACCGACATGCAGACACATCTGCCTTTCTGCTATCAGGACCTTCAGTCCAGCGATTCTGGATCGGTGCATGTGGCGCGCATCAAGAAGGGCGAGGCTGGTGGGGATCCGCCATGACCTTAATCGCGGAGAAAGTGAGCTCCTGCAATATTGATGCCCCTCTACCTGCATCTGACATGCCTCTGGCTGAAGCCCACTAGACAAGCCCAAACCCTGGAAACAAAAGCCGCACAGCTTCTCAGCTTCGAAAGCATGCCCTACCGTCCCGTTTTCAGGACCTCGTCGTCCTGAAGCGACGAAGAGCCCCTGAGTTGGGGAAAGCCAAGGCACGCCTGGCACCCCTCGTTTGATAATGAATGATTTAGACATGTAGATTGAATGAGCAGCGAGTAGACAATACTCTGTAGACTTGCAGAACTCGCAAAATCCGCTGGCTCATGCACATCATGATAGAGTCCCTCTTCTTCGACGGTGTATAGTATATAGCACAGGCTTCAGGATCAACATCTTACGCAAACAGTTGTTGTGTGCGTGTGACCGCGTTGCATCGACACATGGCGTGCGTACTTAAATGCATGTGTGTAAATGTATGGATAGGCGTCTCGATGGTGCAACCTGTACTAGTTGTAGGCATGGTGGAGTCCTGCTGGGTTTGCATTGCCAGTGCAGTCGTCATGACCTTTGCTCCTTCACTGCAAGTCGGCACAGCCGCCGGGGCCTTTCATGTACGACTTACCTCCCCGGAAGTGCCGTCCGGTGTCCTGGAAGCACAGGACGTCCTCAACGAGTACGAGGCAGCAAGTCGAAGAGCTTCGGCTCCTTCCAACAATTGCTACGGTTGAGAACGGCCTTCTGTGTGGTTGCTCATCTTGGGCGGAGTCATTCTCCAGACTTTAGCGCTTCGGGGTGTTGAGGCGTTTGGTGTTTGAAGGAGTTTGCAGCAGGGATGAGCTTGAGCTCTGAATCCACCGCCACGAGTCTTGTTCTGGCTGCAGATCATGAAGAAGCTGAACCACTCGAACATCATACGCTGCTACGGCTACTTCTGGGACTTTCCCTCACAGTCGCTCTACATCGTGTTGGAGACGCTTGGCTCCTGTGTGTGCATGACATCGCAAGCAGACCTGTAGCATTTCAGGTATTGCGTCAGTCTGAGAATGCAAGCACCACGCTGTCTTTTTGGGCACGCCTGTGTTCCTTTAGTAAACGGTCGCAAGTTGGCCCCAGGTATGCAAATCGTGGGGATCTTCACTGGGAGCTGCAGAAGCGGAAGCGATTGGGGACGCTCATCATTTATGGACATGTTGGCTGCCTATGTACCCGAAGAAACCGGGGGTGTACTCTGACACGGTGTTGAGATGGTGTCCGAACGCGTACCTTCAGACGTACAGATGCTTGGAGATGAGAATGACAGTCTAGGGATCGGTTTTGGTGAGGGTCTGAGCTTTTGCAACTTCCTTGTATACGGATCAAAGAGTCGCTGAGGGTGTATGTGTGCTGAAAAAGGGCCGATGGTTGATTGCTCATTCGAGCACCCGCAGGGTGAACCCTCACACATGCGGACCAACTGCCTGGCCAAGGGGGATTGTTGTGAAGCGGGGTGGTGATTGGAGGAAAGGCTGTGAGAGAGAGAGAGAGAGAGAGAGAGAGAGAGAGGGAGAGAGAGAGAGAGTGAGAGAGAGAGAGAGAGAGAGAGAGAGAGAGAGAGAGAGAGAGAGAGAGAGAGAGAGAGAGAGGGAGGG